AGTACTTGCGCAAGACGTATATAAAACTGAGAAACGAGTATCCACTGGTCGCGGTAAAGCAAACGTGACTTGTTATACATTCGCTCAGCCTGAGAATTTGAAAAAGCAAAGGAGCAGTCAATGTCAATCAGATATGAATGCTAGTACTCTTACATCATCAAATGATGGACAACAACATCATACCAATACTTCATCGCATACACGCCGCGTGACCACAGATGCGGAAAAACAAGTACTTGATCAGCTATTGAATGTTGGCAAGGAAGAGCTCGACGAAAAAATAAAGGAAGCGTTATTAAATCTTCCAGACTGGACTATGAATAGAGTTAAACAATATTTAAGAAACGATAAAAAAAAGTATTATAGATAACAATGATATTCGCTTATTCTTTATTGTTTATCATTTGTTATTATCAATTTATTAGATAATTTGCTTGAGTATTTGTGATTTATACTTATATTAATAATATTATGATTATTAGTTAATAAAATTACCCCGTTATTATTATCTTTCGTTTTTATCGCAGATTTCTAATGACAATAATAACTTTGACTGCAATTACTTTGTCAGAAATTGGCTTATTATAACAACAACAATTATTATTTAGTGTATTAGTAATAGTAATCATGGGAATTGCATGATGACCATATTAATATGTGACTTCGGAAAAAGGTGACTGGTCAATGACTATTACTATTAGCGTTAGATGAAAACTGTGCCACCAATTAAAGATCTGTTGTCACACCAGCCATTCTTAGCACGTCAAAATTAATTCTAATCTTTTTCAACCAACCAACACGCCTTCCGAAAGCGATTAAATGGATTCTGTCAAGACAGATCCTGTTCAAGAAAAAATAAAAAACCATCCGAAACGTAGATTTAATTCTACGAAAAATCAAAATCAGAACGGAGTGAAGAGACGCAAAAACGAATTAATAACCATTGCTAGTCAGCTAAAGGCTTTTCGCCGAGAACTGCCGATATGGAAAGGTGTGTTCGTATGTAAAAGAAAACTTTACTAACTTTTGTGGAAGAAGGCTGATCTGAATCATTGATCATAGAGCGGAACAATATTATTCGTGAAATACGTAACAATAGTACTGTCATTGTTATGGGAGAAATGGGAAGCGGGAAAAGTACTCGTAAGTGAACCAAACTCTTTTTCAATTCATGTAGGTAGATCGATTTGCTCGTTTGGATCGTGATCTGAAGAAATTGATTATGGGTTCATTAAAATCATTCAGAAATTCCTCAATTCCTGTTGGATGCTGGCTTTACGAAATCTGGTGCGATAGCTATTACACAACCGAGAAGAGTGGCGGCAATGAGCCTTGCTAGGCGTGTTTCTCTGGAATCTGGCGTACGTCTTGGGAAGGAGGTATGAAACCCCATTAGCACTATCAATATTATTATTCTTGTTGACTTTCTTACGATGGATCATGTCTTGGCAGGTCGGCTATAGCGTCCGGTTCGACGACCGCACTTCTCAAAAAACTATAATAAAATACCTAACAGATGGTATGCTTCTGCGCGAATTGTTGTCGGATCCATTGTTGATGAAATACTCGGTTGTCGTACTTGATGAGGCTCATGAACGTACTATGCGGACTGACATTTTGTTTGGGATGGTGAAGAGGGCCCAGAATGAGCGCAATAGTATAAACGGGAAGGAATTGAAAGTGGTTGTTATGAGCGCTACTTTAGATGCGCAAAAGTTTGCTGCGTATTTTCAAACGTTAGTTTCGATACGTTACTAGTACTTGGCATTGCTGCGTTCATATTGATCCTGAGTATTCTATTTTCTTTTTCCGCCTCCAGAAATTCGATTCTATCCATAGCAGGACGACAGTTTCCTGTAACGGTTCACAACATTCTTGAACCTCAGCCCGATTACTTGGATGCAGCCCTTGTAACAACGTTCCAAATTCATATTGAAGAAGAGCCTGGGGATATTCTGGTATTTTTGCCAGGTACGAACATACTCATTTTGATTTTCGGCATTGACGCGAGAATTGCTAAGATTTACGTTTCCCTCGTCATATGCAAGGGCAGGAAGAGATAGAGACACTAAAGAAACTTATAAAAGATTACGGAACGACATTGGCAGCTGATAAGATGAAGGTGCGTATCGTCAGATGGTTTGACTTTGTAAATGTCACATTAACTTTAGTTATCTCTCTGACAGATTATACCGTGTCCGATGTTCGCTGCCCTACCTGCGGAGAAGCAAGCAAAGGTGTTTGAACCAGCGCCTCGGGATACGCGAAAGGTCATTCTTGCTACCAATATAGCCGAAACTTCGATTACGATCAACGGTGTACGATATGTAATAGACACTGGCAAGTTCAAAATGCGAAATTTCAATTCCAAGATAGGCATGGAGTCTTTGTCAATAGAAAATATATCGAAAAATTCAGCGAAACAACGAATGGGCCGTGCTGGACGCGAGGTGAGCGATGTGCTATTTAGGGTATTTGCCAGTCGTGGTAAAGAGAATCAATGAACTAAGCGCATTATTTTTTTAGGGTCCAGGTTCATGTTATCGGTTATATACAGAGAAAGAGCATGACGAGTTAAAAGATGAAATAATACCCGAAATCAAGCGCTGCAATCTGGCATCTGTCATCCTAATGCTAAAGGCATTCGGTGTCGATGATGTTATAAATTTTGATTATCTGGATGCACCAGCGAGGAATATGCGTACGTCGCGAGTCTCTACTTTGTATCGTCACATGGCTTGTCCAAATTTTTTTCCTTGCTCACGAACCTTTCTGATACTTCAATAGTCAAGAAAGCGCTTGAGCAGTTATACTCTTTGAATGCCCTCGACAATAACGGGAAGATAACGAGCCTTGGGAGGAGAATGGCCGAGTTTCCGCTGGAGCCCACTTTTGCGAAAGTTCTTCTAGCGTCGAAGGTAAATGATAAATGCTTTTTGCATTCATATGACTTGATGACTTTAACTCATTTGATAACAATGTAGGATTTTAATTGCACGCGCGAAGCCGTAGCGGTTATTTCCTTGCTCTCGGTCGATTCGATATTCTTCACGCCCCATGACAAACGCGAAGTAGCTGCTGAGGCAAAGAAAAAATTCATATCTCTGTCCGGTGACTTGATAACAATGTTGAATGTATTGAAGGCATATGAACATCACGGAGACGTGGAATGGTGCAAACAACATTTTATCAATACAAGAAACATGCGGCAAGTTTTGGTATGGTTAATTGTTAACGATATCGTATTGTTTTGAAGTTGGAACTTTGTTTGATATTCAACGTCCGTTGAATCTCTTTAGGAAATTCGAAGACAGTTGAAGCAGTTGTGTGATCGTATGAACATTCCTTCTACTTCGTGTGGAAGTGATTACGATCAACTTATAAAGTGTCTATTGCTTGGTTTCTTCCGAAACACAGCCTTGCTGCAACCGGATAACACGTACAAGACTATCGTTGGGAATCAGGCAAGTTGTAGAGCCTCTTTTGGCGTAACGTCACTACCGCACATCGCACTCTGCTACATTACTAAGTCGATGAATCTCACTACGATAGACTGTACATATTCATCCATCGTCTTCGGCTCATAATAAGAAGATAGAAGCCGTCATGTATATTGAACTCGTGAGTATATCTTTAGGCGGAATCGTATTTGATTTACTTGCCAAGTGCTTAGTCAAAGCTTTTCTGTAGGTCCTAACAACGCGGCCGTATATGAAGAACGTTTCTATTATACAACCAAATTGGCTGCGTGACGCTGCTCCTACATACCAGACTTAACACCATGAGTAATTTCGTCACATAGAATTAAATTTTAATTATTATTTCAACGTTAGATAATAACATGTACATGTATTATGATCCTAGAGATTAGGAAAAATAAACGCCTTTCTAAACATGCTTTATATGTTACGATTCTACTCCACATCAATGCCTGCCTCGTTTTTCGTGCTTACATTACTCTATATCTTAGACAAAGCGCAACAGACAGGGTCGCGATTGTATTTCGTTACGGAAAAGGAACGCTCTACCCATACTCGACAATTTTATAAAATTGGTACGTCCGTGTAACTTAATACAATGAACGCTCTGAAAAAGAGAATTTTGTTCATTCAAACATGTCGTTAGCATCCGGGACGATTAAGAATCCAGCAATTGACAACTTGATTGAATCCTCCTTGGAAAGTGAAAATGAAGACTTGAGACTTGAATGGATTCCGTACGAGGAAATCACCAACATTGAACCAACTCAAATTGACAATGACGACGTTAAAATAATATTGATATCCCTCGGAAGTAACGAAGAATGTACGCCAACATTTGTGAGTACGTTTGCTAGAATGTACTCACTCCGACACACGAGTGCAATAATGTTGACAATGAATTTAGAAGATATTCCACATGGCTTTATTATCGCAACAACCTCATTTTTGGATTCACCAAGTCCAATGACGATAACTATTACATGGTTGCTGATAAACTCTTTTACCATTTTTATTATCGATATGGATTCTGCACCGCATGTGGAATACTCCGGTGTAGTCCGCGTGTGGTGCATTTGTGGGTGTAAAC